TCGCTGTCGCCGTTGTCACCGCCTCATCTTCATTCTCCTCCAGTACAATGCGCACTTGGCCGGAGAAGATGAAGAAGCACTCCTTTCCCGTCTCGCCCTGTTGCACAATCTGTTCGCCGTCCGAGCAGATGCGCCAGGAGAGCGCGTCCGCCAGACACATCTTCTCGTACTGACTGGTGCCGCGCAGCAACGAGACCGAGTGCAGCAGAGCGATGAATTCCGCGCGGCGTTGCGCAGCGTGGAGGAGGACGCGTCGGCGAAACGCCGGCCGCGACATGCACCACAGACGACCGATGGTGCGAGCCACCACCGTGGCCGAGCGTGGCGCGTTGTACATCAACGCGAGCTCACCGAAACAGCCCGAGTCGCGATAGTTGGCGATCAGTTTCCGCGGCCCGCTGCCGCCCTCCTGCAGGTAGACGTCGAACTCGCCCGACTCGATGACATAAAAGTTGTCGCCCTCTTCGCCCTGAGCAATCACGGTCTCGCCGGCCTCGACGCGGCGCTCGAACATGCAGTTCGTGACTCGGCTCATCTGCTCCTCGTCCAGTTCCCGGAATATCAGACTGCCTTGGCAGATTCGGCGTAGCAACTCCCGCTGCTCCGGCGTCTTCTTCTTTCGCCTCGTTCTCGCCATTCTTGAATTCTCCTCCTCCTCCTCCTCCTCCTCCTCTTCGTCATCATCAACATCAGAATCATCAGCATCCTCGTCCGCCTCCTCAGGGTTGAAGGGCTCTGCGGCCACGCTCGGCCGCCGCCGACCGACCAGCATCATCATCTCCTCAAGCGAGGTCTGGTCCAAGAGGTCGTCGTTTTCGCCCTCCTGCCCCCCTCGGGCGCTCTCTTCGAGGCGGAACTCCGCGTTGCCGGCCGGGTTCGGACTGCCCGACCGACTGCACGAGGCCTCCGCCTCCTCGCCTCGGCTCGTCTTGTCCTGCAGCCGATTGAAGTAGTCCGTGGCGAAGGTGACCACGTCGGTCGGTCTGTTGCGTACCACGACGCTCGTGAACTCCTTCATCAGATCCAAGTAGCCGACCGCAGGCTCGGCTTCATCCGCCGACTCGGGTCCGCCAGCCTCTGGCCCCGCGTTAGCACCGCCGGCCATGTGGATTCAGACCGGAGTGGGTCGATAGTGGATCGCTTAAACCAACATCACTCGGTCGGGTTGGATGAAGCAAAAGTGGGCAAACATTTTCGCAAATCATCACAACACTACTAGCAGGCCAGATGAGTAGTAGCCTGAAAATGAACAACTTTTGAGGCTTTCTCCCATGACACACAAGACATGCTGACAACAACTGGTTAAGGGCTTATTAGCGAAAATATGATGAAGTGTATTGCAGATTTGAGAGAAGTGGGTTTGGGGGCTATCAATTATTCTTAAATTTAAACTTTGTCACCCTAAATCGCCTTAAGAAGACCATTTAATTCGACTCAGGTCAACCTTGCAACAACTTATCTCATCCAGCACGAATGGTAGTTTTGACATCTCCCAGGTCTCCTAAACAGCCTCAGCCAGTTCGATACCAGGTCGAGTGTATTGTTGCGAATTTTACCAACCAGACCTCTACGACTCACATTATTTTGGTGTGCTTGTCAAATGGCCTTCAAGACCATCGGTAATCCTTGACTAAGCACTTAGTCAGTCTAGATCGCTTAAGGCGAGTTGAGGACTGATGGTTGAGATGTTACCGCAATGGAAAGAGTAGATTTCACGATGCCATTGCGTTTCACTTATCCCAAGTCCTAGGTGTGGTTGAAACTGAAATCCAGCCTGGATGATATACGCTTTTGGGGGACGAGGCTGACCGAAATTCAATGGCTTTGTAGGTCCTCATCATTTTATTGTCCACCTAAGG